CTTCCTTCCTTCCTTCCTTCCTTCCTTCCTTCCTTCCTTCCTTCCTTCCTTCCTTGTATTTCTCTGTCTCCTTCCCAATTACATAATTAACTCAGGAATATCTCTCTTTAAATGTTGTTGTTATTATTATTATGTGATAATAATATTAATCTTTATATCGTACTTAAAACTAAGCACAAAATAGTAATAAAAATATAAATTGAATTAGAATAGACAAACATACAAATAGACACATTAAAAATCTAGGTAACTCTAAGGGAATAGTGGAATACCGAATGGGTGCCCACTTCACAATAGAAAAAATAAATAAACTAGACCCTACAAAACCTATTAGCAATAAATGACTAATTAAATCCGTTAAAATTAAGCAACACACAACATTAAAACCAGGGATCCCTGTCACTGGGGCCACTCCAGGAGCCACAAGTCCCCAATCAGAGGAGCCACCCTATTCCTCAAATAAGAAGATGTATTATTTTCATACTGATATATTTTATATATTCGGCTCCTTAGGCTCTGTCTTCCATCGATTATTTGTTCTTCTACCACTCTCATAAAGGTAGATTTCTTTTGACTTCTACCTCATATTGTTTCAGTCCTATCATCTGGTCCTTCTGTCTACTCAGATTGATATTTTCTCTTCATTCCTTTAGCACTGTTCCTTTCCTAGCTCCAAACTGCTTTATTTTTTATTTTTTTATTAAAATTTATAACAAGGTAAAATTTATTAAATTTATACCTTGTTATCACATTATGAGTATATCTAGATTCTCAACTTTGGCCTATTGGGGTGATACATCAAGTCCAATCGTGCTCTGCAAGCTGCTGTCAACCTCTGAGGCATCACGCGCTGCCCTTGACACCACCTTGCCAAGGAACAACTTACCACATTGCAGCTGGGCATCTCCGCATCTTTTTTTAAAATAATGGTTGGCTTGTTCCTTCTCACTTGTAAGGTTCCTCTTTTCCTCTTTCTTGTCTCCTGGATGTTGAGATGTCAAGATGTCTCCTGCTACTTCTTTCCTTCCTCCTCCTCCTTTTTTCCCCTCCTCCTCCTCCTCCTCCCTCTTTCCCACTCAGTTATTTCCTGATCAATGGCTAGAAATGTAGATCCCAGCAAATCCCTGGGATCTTTGCAACTTACCATGAGTTGAAAAGGAGGCAAGGACTAGTCCCTCCCCTGGCCTTTGGGGATTGGCTGATCTTGAGTGTCCCTCTCCAATTGTGCTATGGACAGCTGGAAAGACAGAGAGAGACAGATGAGGGGAAAAAATCAGAAAATAAATGTATAAAGATAAAATGTTCTGTTCTTTCTGTTTTTGTGGATTTTACCCTTCCCTTGAATTCATCAGTTCATTAGGTTTTTCATTTTCTTTTTTTAAGATTCCCTCCATTCCTTTATTTTTCTCTTCCTACACTTAGCAATAAAGTGATACAGCTTGTAAATCGATGCACGGAAAATGCTCCCAGGGGATCAGAAATGCCTAGTTGAATCCACTAATAGGTCAGGCTTTGGGCATCTGGGATTGAAATCTGAAGGGTTGCCTTTCCCTGCTGCAATGACCCCCCCCCACTTGCAAAATATATGAAGGGCATAATTATAAAAGAAGGCAGAGAAAGTGTCTCTTTCATGGTTCATTTTATTATCATTATTTACTGTTGAATGTTATCACTTGTCAAGACATGTTGGTAAATGTCCAAACCAAGCCCACTGGCTCGATGTCTAAGAGGCTTTCTGATAACTGTCAAGAACTACAACCTGCATTCAATAAATAATTAAATGTCAACATTTATTCAGGACACTATGAATTATTAAGGACACTGGGAGATATCCAGGACTGTGGAAGGTTGAAGTCACTTGGACATTCAGGCTAATTGTGAGCATTCAGCCATGTGTCTTAATAAATGTTGACAGTTACAAATCAATGATAGCACAATGGATGAAATGGCTTTTTGGTCAAAAGCTGTTTGAAGTTCTTGAGATTTACTGGACAAACATTCCTCATGTTAGGAATGAATGAACATTATGACTGTAAGATCAACCAAGGATAGCCAAATCAACTTGCTGCTTTTGTGAACACTTTTGGGAGCACCAACTGCTCCTTTAAAACACTTGTTTTCCTGTTTTTGGGCCACTTCATAAAAGCAACTGGATATTGATTTAGCCTTATTTTAAATTACCATTGGTGACGTCATGACATGGCCAAATCCAGCAGATTGTTTAGCATCAGGACTTTATGCAGATTCCTGTGTGATGACTGAGTGACCAATCCAGGAAGGAGGAATAACTAGGGAAAAAAAATTAAGAGAAGCCATTTAACAGTAGCATCTTAGAGGATTTTTAAAAGGCGAGTGTCCCCTCACTATGCCTTTTCAAAGAAATCTCCATTCAAACAAAATGGCTAACTGGGACCTGAAAATCAAAAGCTGGGAATATTTTGTGTAGCATGCATGCATAACTCATATACATAAAGCTGAAGCTATTTTAAACAGAATAAAAAGAGGATTCCAGCTTCTCTCCTTTGTGATATACCTTCTTTGTGTAAAAGCAAATTTTATATTGCATTGGGGATTTTACATTCCCATTCTGGACCTATTTAACCATAGGGCAAATTTTGCCTCACTTTTGCAAAACAACAACATCCTTGTTTTTTGTCTACTTATTTTTCACTGATACAGGTAGTCCTTGCTTAACGACCATTCATTTAGTGACTGTTTGAAGTTACAATGAAGCTAAAAAAGTGACTTACGACTGGTTCTCACACTTATGACTGTTGCAACCCCCCCGCGGCCACATGATTGCGATCTGGGTGCTTGGCAACCGGCTTGCACTTATGATGGTTGCAGCATCCTGAGTTCACGTGATTGCCATTTGTGACCTTCCCAGCCGTTTTCCAGCAAGCAAAATCAATGGGGAACCACACGATTCACTTAATGACCACGTGATTTACTTAGCAACCATGGTGATTTGCTTAACGACCACTGCAAAAAAAGGTTGTAAAATTGGGTCCAGTCATGTGATGATTTGTTTAACGCATCACTTACCAACCTAAATTCCAGTCCCAATTGTGGTCGTTAAGTGAGGACTACCTATGTAATTTCTTTCTTCCTTTGCCTCATACTGAACTCTTAACAATTCAAACAGCAGCCATTTTGATTTGGGTTTATATTTGTGCATCTTCTCTTTTGTTCATGTGAGGAGTATCTGGGTAGCAATAGCACTGGCCAAATTCACTTAGAAATTGAGGTTGGTATTTCCACAATGACCAGCTATCTCATTCCTAAGCCAATGGCTCCCTCTAATGGTGAAAAAGGAGACGTGAGCTGAGAATGAAGAATGTCTCAGTTCCTAAACCCCAGCAAGGGAAAGCCAGCAGGGAGTGATGATCCAGCTGTCTTTCGAAGCTGCTAATTCACCATAATTGAGGTTATGTTGAGGACTTAAGTATCTAACAAATCCCAAGGCCTTCTCTGTTTTAGTGCAATGTTCAACAGACCTGACATAAATGTTTTTTTTTTTTAATTCCTCAATATTCCTCAAATATTGAATTTGGGTACAACTTTTCACGGAGCAGCCATGTTAATCCTTGAGAGCAGAGCGAGCAAAAACGATGTGTTTACAAACATGCACGTGGTCGTTAAGCGAATCACATGGTCATTAAGTGAATCATGTGGTTCCCCATTGAAAATGCTGTAAAGTTCATGTTTACCCAAGTACCTTCGCTTCTTCTCTGAACCTGAACTAGCGCTAGGAATAGGTAGGAACAGATGTGCATATCTTATCCTTGTAATTATTGTACCCAACATTAAAAGAGGACGTGTAAAATGGACAGCTTGAGAGATATCCTTCCTTCAGTAATCTCTTTTCCCATTAAGACACTGTCAATTTTAGAGTGGCTCTTGGTGACACCATCTGCGCTGCTTTTGTGGATGAGTTATGGAAGAGTCTTGCCACTGCCTTCATCCAGGAAGATTTTTTGGGGTCTCTGTGTGTTAGTTTAGCCCAGTGTTCTTCAACCTTGGCCACACTTTAATATATTTGTGGTTTTTTTCCTTAAAATTTCTCCCCCACCAATGGATTATGTGGGGTGTAGTAAATAAATATTTAAAATG